AGACGAGAGGCACGGGAGGCAAAAGAGAAGAGAGGAGGGAGAACGTGCACCCCTCCCACGACATCCCCATCCCTGACTCTCTGGCACCACACCTCACGGTTAACAGAGAGTTCCTCAAGAGAACAGTGACACATCTCAAAGCCCTCCGCCTGAAGTCGCAACTGGGCAGAAAGAACTTCGTGAAAATCTTTGTCGGCCCTATCGCCGTGGCTGACAATCAAAAAAACGGGCATGTGAGAAGATGGGCGGCTAACAGTGGGTGCCTCGTCAGCGCGCAGCAGGGGTAGCTGGGGCAGCAACGACTGTCAGCCTCCTGAGACTTGCTTGCAACAAATAGACGGGCCGTGCTCTCTGTAAGCAGCCTTCTCGGCAACGTGCTCCAGCCTGCCACCATCCCTGTTGCGTTTTTGTTCCTGTCTACTCCTGTCCACGCACTCGTCTATGACTCCCTGGGGTCCTTTCTTTGGGTCTCAAGCCACGGCTGGAGACACCCTTGCTGCTGCTTTGAATGTTTGACAAGCCTGCACCTGGAGTGGAACTGAAACATGCAGACCTGGCACAACGTGCCCTTGACCCATTGATACGGGTCGCTAATGCTTCTGTAATTCTTGGCCCTGTGGATGGCCAACCCCTTCTCGGATTTCGAGGTGAATCCGCATTCGTAGCAGACGAAACAAATGTCGAGCTCCTCCGACGTTTGACTAGATGGGGGCTTCGTGCAGAGACCGAAGCTTTGAACCGTCTTAAAGAGAAAGTGCTCATGATGCTCCTGCTGCTGCAAAAACCTAGCTCGTCTACCCGCCTCGACAACGAGGTTGACGAACCTTTTGGGAGCCGCCCTAGCAGCTTGAATCCAGTCTTCCGCCTCCCCCGCTCTGGGGACGTCCTGCTTGTTGCACAAGGTGTTGAGCCACCTAAAGTCCTCCAAGGCCGCCGTGGCCCACGACCCAGGCACGTCCCACAGGCAGTCCAAGAGAACACGGAGGGGAGCAGGCGCAGCCTTCAGGATTCTAGGGAGGTATCTGAGTCTCGATATCCTCAACACACTCCTCTGTTCAAGCCTGTTCTCCTGAGGATGTCTTGCTGGGGGTGATGCTGCTCCGCGGAATTGCTGAGCGGAAGTCCTAGGGCAGCGCGGTAGGCACTGGACTGGGCAGCAGAGAGCTTGGCAAGAACTCTGGCACTGACTGGTTCCCAGACGCAGCAGTTGACATTCATCTTAGACAGGGCAAGAGCATCGGTGTATTTGGCCTTCGTGTGCGTGCTAAGGGCTTTCCTCTTGCCGATTCCTACCTGGAGGGGGCGAAGCTCCTGCCGCATCGGCGCAGTACGATGACTAACTTCAAGGGGGGGGGGGTGCCAACTGAATCCGCAAGCATAGTCCCCAAACCTTTGATTTTTTTCCTTCCACAACCTGGACCTCAATGCTGAAAATGGGCGAAACGAGTTTAAGGTCCCCAGGTCGCTTGGAGAAAACTTGCTTCACCTGCTTGGAGTGTCTGCCCACGAGAGAAACGCGAATGAAAGTCTTCTTGGCATTGAGTTGAAGGTCGTATCGTGAGACAGACTCGTGAACCAAATCCACAAGAATGGCCGCCTTCTCCTCGACCTTCATTGGGTCGGGAACGACTGCCACTGAGGTCAGATCGTCCACAAATGAATCAGTGCTGTCTTGGCTGGACCAGTCAGCAGGAACCGAAAATCTGCATGGCTGGCCTTGAGGTTGCCAATTCATTTTCTCGCGAACCATACCTTGCTCAATGGCCTGCAGAATAGGATTAAAAACCACATTGAAAAAACCAGTGGTCATGACAGTTCCTGGGCGAGTGCCCAAGGTGGGTCTGACGTAAGTGGGGGCGTCTCTGATGGTCCACCAAGCTCCCGATTGAGTTTCCCTAGCGAGTTCCCGCAAATGAGGGTCTTCAATGGTGCCATCGAGGATGGGGCTGGAGTCGAGAGCCTTCTGAGCGCTGAAGAGAGCTTCTGGGATGTCAATCTGCTGCGTCGCTTCAACAAAGTCCTCCTCCTCCCCTGGCAGAGCCATCACACATTGCCTCACGACCGAATAAACAGCCGCGGTGAGGTCCAGAAAGACAGCCACAGTGGAGAGTTTGCTGGCCTTGTGAGCCGCAATCTTGCTCCGAACGTAATGCGAGGCCACATCCGTGGACCTTCCTTTGCAGCCTCCGCACTGGGTGTCTCGGAGCGTGGCGGCAACGACAGCCCAACTCCTCCTCCTCCTCCTCCTCTTCCTCCTCCTCCTCCTCCTCCCCGTCCTCCTCCTCCACCTCCTCCTCCTTTTCCTCCTCCTCCTCCGCCTAGTCCTTTTTCTCCTTCATTCCTTTTTCTTACAAATAACTTCTCCCTGTCGCACCCCGAGGCCAGTTTTTATGGCGGGCCAGGCGTTTCGCTTGAGCCTTCCTCACCACGTATGACCCTGAAACTTGAAAATTGGCGACAGTTTCATAGATGGAGGGCGCGGGTGGTTTTCAAAATGTGGCTCTCGCCTTAGTGTGGTGCACATTCGTTCTAAACACCTGCAACAATTTCACGGATTGAGGGCGGGTGGCTTTCAAAATGTGGCTCTCGCGATAGCGCGGCGCCTTTTTGTTTAAGCACAAATGCAAACGTTTCACGGATTGGAGTGGTTTCTTTACAGAACGTGGTTCTCGCCTTAGCGCCGCGCACATTTGCTTACAGCATTTGCCAGGGTTTCACGGATTCCGATCATCAACGTACCAGACATTGTGTTTTGGAAGGATTCAAGATTATGCGGGTGCAGCCGTTACGTTGGTTCTCTGTGTTGCAGTCCCACGAATGGCTTTCTGGCACGACTCACGATCGTCAGGACGCAACAGTCAGGTTGATCCGTGGCGTTGGAATCCCGAGAACAACGCTTCGGCATGCTTCAGGGTCGTCAAACGGGTGTCTTCCAGCGAGGCAGTTCCATCATTGGAAATAAACCGTTGTAGGGGCCCCTGAAGAGGGAGCTTGGAGGGAGGGTTTACTCCAACATCGTTGATGACTCTTGGGTTTACACTGGTCCTCCTCCTTCTCCTCCTCCTCCACAATTACTCAATATGAATACTCTCCCTCTTCCCCGGATGACGGTTTGAAAGTATTAGCCCCCCCCCCCGCGTATTGTTTTTTGGCACACAGGATTCCCCGGAGTTGGGTTTTCGCCTGCATTTTTTTTCAAAATGCTGCTTTCGCTGAGGCGCCGGCCTCATTTTCGGGCCCCGCTTGTTCCGAATCGTGCTCCCGCTGCAGCGCTGGCCTCATTTCTGTGCTTCCGCTCGTTCCGAATTGTGCTCCCGCTGCAGCGCTGGCCTCATTTCCGCGCTTCCGCTCGTTCCGACTCGTGCTCCCGCTGCAGCGCTGGCGTCATTTCCCGTGCCATGCCACGGCATGCAATGCAATGCTAGGTTGATACTACGCTTTGCGGTGCTCTTCTACGCCATGCCATGCCGTGCTCTACAATGCATCGCGTACCCTTCGGGATCATTGCCTTGCTCGACATCCGACTGTGCGAGTAGAGAGGGGATCTACGCCATGGTAAGGGATGGGAGGGAGGGGTAGGATGTCAGATATGACGCGAGCGCACCTAGCTTGATCCTCCTCCCCCTCCTCTTCCTCCTCCTCCTCCTCCTCCACCTCCTCCTCCTCGTCAGGGAGCACCACAATCTCGTGCGAAACATACAGGATCCCCAGGGCGAAAGCTGCATTTTGGCTCGCTCGCGTGCGACGTCGTGTCGACGAATGGGCGGACGAGAGCCGTGCGTCGCGCCCAAGCGGGAGTTCTGTGCTCGGAGACATGGGCGCAGCGCCGAGGCGGGAGCGACATCTCGCCCACTCGTGCAGGATGTGTGCTCCGTCCCATTCCTGCCACGCATTTTGCAGCGCCGACGCCAGGACGCCAGGACGTCCGTGTGGAGGGTTTTTGTGGAAGCGGGGCGGAGGGGCCCAGGCTGGGCCCTTTTGGGCCAGCCAGGTTTCACAGAGCAGGGGCTGACGTGAACAATGAGATGGCATACGGCATACGAGAGCGGAGGCAGGGGGGCAGGAGGAGGGCGGCAAGGATCGGGGGATGGTGGGCAGGAGGACGGGGATGATCAGGGTGGGGACTTGGAGTGATCAGGATGACGATGATGATGATGATGATGATGATGATGATGATGATGATGATGATGATGATGATGATGATGATGATGAGGATGATGAGGATGATGTTGTTGTTGCCTCTGCTGATGATGATTATGATGACGATGATGATGATGATGATGATGCTGATGATGATGAGGATGGGGATGATGGGGAGGAGGAGGGGAGAGGAAGAGGAGGAATAAGCTGATCATGATTACGATGATGCTGTCGATGATTAGCACGATGGAGACGATTATTATCATATTGTTTTGATGATGATATCGATGATGCTGATGATGAGGATGGGGATGATGGGGAGGAGGGGGAGGAGGGGAGAGGAGGAGGAGGACTAAGACGATGACTATGCTGATGCTTCTGCTGCTCATGATGATGACGATGATGATAACGATGAGTATGATGATGATGATGCTGATGATGATGATGATGATGATGATGCTGATGATGATGATAACGATGATGATGATGGTGGTGGTGGTGATGATGATGCTGAACATTATGGCAATGACGATGATACCGAGGAGGAGGAGGATGATCATGATGATGATGATGATGATGATGATGGTGGTGGTGGTGGTGGTGATGACGACGATGATGTTGATGTTGTTGATGTTGATGATGTTGATGATATTGTTGTTGTTGATGATGATGATGATGATGATGATGATGATGATGATGATGGGGATGAAGAGGAGGAGGAGGAGGAGGAGGAGGAGCAGGATTAGTAGGAGGAGAAATGCAACGATTATGATGAGGAGGAGCACACTATAAGTCCATTACCATAAGCTCGATCCGATGCCTCGAGGGGAGAGGATGAGTAGGAGGAGGCAAAAGGGGAGGACAAGATAGCGATGCACGAGAAGTTCATTTTTATATATTGTTTCCTCGGTGTGGACTGGTCACACCCCGAGCTGGCCTCGCGGCTGCGTCACGCCTACGACATCCTGCCAAACAAGTACTCGAAGAACCTTCGCAGGCGCTCTGGATGATGCGGGCCCGAGGCGAGGAGACGGGAAAGGGAGGAACAGTGCCAGCAGAAATAGGAGAAGCAGGCGCAGAAGGATAGACGGGGACAGGATCAGCATGATCACGACTCTGATGACGAGGAGTAGGATGAGGATGTTGGTTGTGGTGATGAGGAAGGACATGACGAAGAGGACCGTGAGCATGAGGAAGCGTATGCAGAACAGGCAGGGGAAGCGGGAAGGATTACGTATTGTCTGTTTCATCCATGTCCCACTCTTTTCTGATCGCTCGAGCCCTTTCTTTTGCGTTCTGTCCACAGACTTGGGAAGGCCTCAGCAGCCAGTGCCGCCGACCCTGGATGCGGGACCTCCCCTGTCAGCCACCGCTGCCGATCGCCCATCCAGGAGCCCTCTGGGACCCCGCGGGGGGCGATATTATGACCCGGGACCCCCCCTCTCCTCCGCTTGAACGACGGAAGAAAGCGGGGTCGACTGCGCCGACATTGGCGCGCAAGCTGCCCGCGAAAGGCCGCGCGTAAGCGCCCTCGTCTCCAGTAAGGCGTGCCGCGCCTGCGGCCCGCGTGAGCTACCTCGTAAGGTCGCTGTGCCACCTCGCGTAAATTGAGGGATGAAAAAACGACCCTACCCTGGGTTACAAGTGCGTGATCTGTAAACCTCCTGGGAACCCCCAAAGCCTAGAGCCGCCAGGACGCGGCACATCACGCAGGGTTTACCCTGTCAGCCCACAGGAGTTTCAGCGCACAGCGCCTTGTAAACCAGGGTAGGGGCGTTTTTTATGCCCTCGCGTAAAGCCCGTTTTTGATCGTCGCTCACTTGGGCGCGAATTAATGAAGGGGGCGATAGACGGTGGGGCAGCGGGGGCTGCAGAAAAGCATTCGAGGGCCCCGAAAGGGGCCAGATGGGGGCCTCTAGGGTCCGAAAAGGGCACCTTTCTCCCCCCCCCCATTTATCGCCCCTCCATGAATTCGCGCCCAGCCGACCCCTCCTGGGACCTCTCCCCCCTCGCCCGGCGGGGAAGGGATCAGAGAGAAGGGGCTTCCCCTCGGCTTAAAAACTACGTCGTTCCTCACTTCCCCTGTGGCTGGCGGTGGAGGTGGAGGGCCCCGGGAACCGGAAGGGAGCGGCGGCTGCAGCCGCGGGGGCGACGGCGACGACGGCGACGACAGCGTCTTTTCCATGTTCTCGTCCTCGCCGTCCCCCTCCGTTTCGTTCCTCTCCCGATCGGGCGACGAAATCTATACATATCCATTGCTCCCTGGCCAGGCCCATCCTGAACCCAGGAATTGTGCATACGCCCTCCTGGCCACGCCAGGAGGGCGCAGCGTATACACAGCTGCTGGGTTCAGGATGGGCCTCGCCAGGGAGCAGTGGATATGTATAGATGTCGTCGCCCTATCCCGAGACCGCTTAACTACTTTTAGGTCGGGCACGTCCTCCTGCAGGCGGGTTTTGGGCAACATGTGAATCATCCCGGCAAAGCAACCCAACAGCGATGTGTAGAAGCATATTTGGAAGCATTCCCCTTCATATTCAGGTGAGAATCCAGTTGCAGAATTCTGCTGTTCTCGCAGTCGCAGTCGCATTCGCAATGGCAGTCGCAGTGGCAACGGCTTTAGGATCCAATGGAATCCTAAGGATCCCTATGGATTCCTAAGGCATCCTTAGGCATCCTTAGGAATCCATCGGAATCCTTAGGAAACCTTAGGAATCCTGATTCCTAGGGATTCCTAGGGATTCCTGAGGATTCCGGAGGAGTCCTAAAGATTCCTAAGGATTCCTAAGGATGCTTAACTATGTCTACGGATTCCTAAGGATGCCTACGGATTTCTAAGGATTCCTATGGATTCCTAAGGATTCCTATGGATTCCTACGGATGCCTCAGCCTGCCTCAGTTTCAGCCTCAGCCTCAGCCTGCCTCGGCTTGCCTCAGCCTCAGCCTCAGCCTCAGCCTGCCTCGGCCTCAGCCTCAGCCTGCCTCAGCCTCAGCCTCAGCCTGCCTCGGCCTCAGCCTGCGTCAGCCTCAGCCTCAGCCTGCCTCAGCCTCAGCCTCAGCCTCAGCCTCAGCCTCAGCCTCAGCCTCAGCCTGCCTCGGCTTGCCTCAGCCTCAGCCTCAGCCTGCCTCGGCCTCAGCCTGCCTCGGCCTCAGCCTGCCTCAGCCTCCCCATCCTCCCCCCCCCCCCCCTCCCCCCCCATTCAGCCTCACCTTGTCTCAGCTTCGGCCTGCCTCGGCCTCATCCTCAGCCTCAGCCTCAGTCTCAGCCTCAGCCTGTCTCGGCCTGAGCCTGCCTCAGCCTGCCTCAGCCTCAGCCTGCCTCAGCCTCAGCCTCAGCCTGTCTCAGCCTCAGCCTGCCTCAGCATCAGCCTCAGCCTCAGCCTCAGCCTGCCTCCTCAGCCTCAGCCTGCATCAGCCTCAGCCTCAGCCTCAGCCTGCCTCAGCATCAGCCTGCCTCAGCCTCAGCCTCAGCCTGCCTCAGCCTCAGCCTCAGCCTGCTTCAGCCTCAGCCTCAGTCTGCCTTCAGCCTCGGCCTCAGCCTCAGCCTGCCTCAGCCTCAGCCTGCATCAGCCTCAGCCTCAGCCTGCCTCCTCAGCCTCAGCCTCAGCCTCAGCCTGCCTCAGCCTCAGCCTCAGCCTCAGCCTCAGCCCTCAGCCTCAGCCTCAGCCTCAGCCTCAGCCTCAGCCGCCTGCCTCAGCCTCAGCCTCAGCCTGCCTCGGCCTCAGCCTCAGCCTGCCTCAGCCTCAGCGTCAGCCTCTGAGCCTCAGCTTCAGCCTCAGCCTCAGCCTGCCTCGGCTTTGCCCTCAGCCTCAGTCTCAGCCTGCCTCAGCCTCAGCCTGCCTCAGCCTCAGCCTCAGCCTGCCTCGGCCTCAGCCTGCCTCGGCCTCAGCCTGCCTCAGCTCGGGCATTCAAAATATGGTACAAGACTGGTGTTCTGGGAACACGAAGAACACGAAGTGGCCTACAGTTGGCTCCGGGCATTCAAAATGTGGCCTGGGAATTGTGTTCTGGGAACACGAAGAACACGAAGTGGCCTACAGTTGGCTCCGGGTATTCAAAATGTGGCCTGGGAATGGTGTTCTGGGAACACGAAGAACACGAAGTGGCCTACAGTTGGCTCCAGGCATTCAAAATGCGGCCTGGGAATAGTGTTCTGGTGGCTCCGGGCAGTCAAAATGTAGCTCCTGGCAATCAAAATGGGAGTCCCTGGATTCCCGCGGGAGTCCCTGGATTCTCGCGGCACCCGCCCGGATCCCGCCCAGACCCCCCTGGGGAGTCATGATGCTTTCTTTTGAGACCACTAAAAACCTATCAATCTTCGCTGTTAGGTAAAAATAGCCACAACCTGTTCAAACATAGTCAAAAATCATCCCAGGGGCTATGTTTGACGATCAACAAATCAAAAAAATCATCACAGGAATTTGTTTTTGACAATTTCTGAATATTCCTCCTGCAGAGGGACAGGCCCGACGTAAAGAACTCTTTCCCCGACCCCTCCCGGAGGCTCTACGTGCTCCACGCCACGCAGGGGCTCCGGGTGACGATGTGGACGTTCTGGGCCTGGCTGACAAAGGCCGCAAGATGGGGAGCGAGGGAGGGGGGGGAGGGAGGAGAGTCGAAGAAGAAAAAACGCCACAGACATAAACTTTTGGCGCTCCGCACGGAGCGCCCAAAGTTTATGCTTGTGGCGTTTTCTCTTCTTCCAGAAAGGAGACGCGTAATCATCGAGCGCGTTCCACTACTCGCGAAGTGCTTACTCGCAGACGTCATCAAAGAACGAGCGCTGTTCGATGCAGTGGAGCCTGTTTGCCTCGACGCGATCTGGGCCATTTGCGAGTAGCTACCTTGCGAGTAGTGGAACGCGCCTGTTTACATAAGAAGGGGGCAGAGGAGGCGGAGGATGAGCGGGGGAAGGGAGGGAGGTATATGGGGAGGGAAAGAAAAGGAGGAGCATGACGAACACTGTTTTTTTGACGGAGTGCGGCCTATGATGAGGACGAAGACCAGGATATTTATATCTGTTCGGCAGAAAGGAGGAGGGGGGTAGGAGGAGGAGGAGGAGGAGGAAGAGGAGGAGGAGGAGGAGGGGGAGCAGTGTAATGAGTAATAGGAGGCTGAGGGGCAGGTGGGAGAGTAATATTATGAGGTTGGGATTGAGAGGATGGTAGTGACGTTGACGCTGACGCTGACGCTGACGCTGGCGATGACGATGACGACGATGATGATGATGATATGATGGTGTTGATGATGATTATGATGCTTACGATGATGATGCTAATGATGCTGATGATGATACAGATAACGACGATGATGATGATGATGTTGATGATGATTGTGATGATGATGGTGATGCTGACACTGACGATGCTGATGCTTGTGATGATGCTGGTGATGATGGTGGTGGTGATGATAATGTCGTTGCTGGTGACAATGAGGATGCTGCTGATGTGGATGATGATGACGAGGATGATGATGTTGATGATGATGCTGATGCTGATGCTGCTGCCGTTGCTGCTGCTGATTCTGACGATGATGACGACGAGGATGCTGCTGCTGATGATCCTAGGATGCTGATGATGTTGCTGATGTTGGTGAAGCTGTTGATGCTGATGCTGCTGATGTTGCTGATGCTGCTGCTGATGATGTCGTTGATGACGCTGACGATGACGATGCTGATGTTGATTACGCTGATGCTTATGCTGACGGTGATGACGATGCCACTGATGAATGCTGATGATGATGCTTCTCATGATGCTGATGATGATGAGGAGGACGCTGACGAACAGAGTGGCGATATGAGGGTTATGCGGATGATGATTGTAATGATGATGCTGATGGTGATTATGATGCTGATGCTGAAGATGATGATGCTGATGATGACGACGATGATGATGCTGCTGCTGATGATGATGTTGCTGCTGATGATGATGCTGATTACGCTGATGATAGGGAGGATGATAATGAGGAAGAGGACGATGCTGATGCCAATGATTCTGAAGATGATTCGGATGATGATGCTGCTGTTGCTGCTGATGATGCTGCTGATGTTGACGATGATGACGCGAATGACGATCATGATACTGTTGCTGCTAATGTTGCTGATGCTCATGATGGTGATGGTGACGGTGACGGTGATGGTGGTGATGCTGGTCATGATAGTGATAGCGATGATGCTGATGGTGTTATTGTTAATGATGATGATGTTGCTGATGATGATGGTGATGCTGCTGCTGATGATGATCATTATGATGACGCTTGTAATGATGATGCTGCTGGTTGTGATGGTGAGGATGATGATTGAGGGTTCGTGATCGCGTGTGTGCCAAAAAACAATCAAGTCTACACGGGTGCTGGCGGGAGGCGACCACACTGATGTGCAGCACCAGCGTGGACCTCGTAGTGCACTGCGTCGAGTGTTGCTGCACCCCGCCACTTGCCGCAGCACCTGCGAGTGAGACCAGGGACACCTGCCCTAGACGCTACAGGCCCAGACGCACCTTCGTGATGATGGCTCATGGCCGCCATCCCCCAAAGGTGAAAATTACGCCTGCGTGGGGGCCGCCGCCAGTGGGAACCGACCGCCTGCGTAGGAGTCGCTGTACGTGGGAGACACCTGCGTGGGAATCGCCACGTAGGGGCGCCGCCAATGGGCCCTTGGGAGCCGCCGTGTAGGAACCGCCTGCGTAGGAACCGCGTGCGTCAGAACAGCCGCCGGTGGATATTCTCCGTGGGAGCCGCCGAGTATGAGCCGTCGGCGTAGGAGCCGCCGCCAGTAGGAGCGCAAGTGGGAACCGCCAGCGTAGGAGCTGCCGCCAGCGAGTGGGCACCGCCTGCGTAGGAACCGCCGCGAGGAGGTACCGGCGTAGGAGGCGCCGCCAGTAGGAACCGCCTGCGTAGGAGCCGCCGCCAGTCGCAACCGCCTGCGAAAAAACCGCTCGGGTGGAACCGCCCGTGGGAAAGGCGTGCGCAGGAACGCCTGCGTAGGAACCCCCGCCGCTGGGAAGGCCAGCGCGAGCCGCCAGCGTCAGAGCCGTCGCCAGTGGGAGGCCGCGAGCGGGAACCGCCCGTGGGAACCGCGTGCGCCCGAACGACTGCGTATGAGCCGACGCCAGATGGAGGGCCAGCTGTAGCCGCTTGCGTAGGAGCCGCCTGCGTTGGAACCGTCTCGAGTGGGAGCCGCGAGTGGGACCCGACTGCGTAGGAGCCGCCGCAGGGATGAAGTGCCACTAGCAGTTGCCAGAAGGGGCCGCCGCCAGTGGCAGCTGCCGCCAGAAACAGCTGCCAGTGGGAACCGCCGCCAATGCCAGCTTCCAGTGGGAACCGCCGCCTGTGGGAGGCGGCCGTTGCCGCGAGTGGGGGTCGCCGCGAGTGGGACTTGCCAGTACGCGCATATTTTATCAAAGAAAGGCCACGATGTAGGCCTGTCGCGCTGCCACTCCAGAGGTTGCCTCTTCACCCAAGTTGAACTCGCGGACAAAGGAAAACAACGTGGTGACACCAGATAGATAAGCCGAGCCCATGACTGCCTGGTGCCGATGCCGTCAGCGTGGGGGGGACACCGGGAGCCCGAAGGGAATATGTAGGTGGACGGGAACCACGGCGCCGCCGTTGCTTCAAGAACCAAACCAGCTGTATGATGATGATGATGATGATGATGATGATGATGATGATGATGATGATGATGATGATGATGATGATGATGATGATGATGATGATGATGATGATGTTTTATGGTCGCGTGGGACATTCAATGTGTACGTGGGCACAAGCGTGGGGCCGATCACAGCGGTGTGCAACACAAACATCGGCTTTGCAGTGCACTGCGGCGAGTGTTGCTGAACCCCGCCGCGTGCCGCAGGCGCTGAGACAGGAAAGACTTGTCCCACGCGCCACAGGCCCCGAATCACCGACGCGATGATGATGAAGCTGCTGCTGATGATATGGGTGAACATGGTGCTACTGACAATGCCAGTGAGAGTGGCGATGGTTATGTTAAGGGTGATGTTCGTGGTGATGGTGGTGCTGGTCGTAATGATGATGCTGGTGCTTCTGATGATGATGATGATGAAGATGATGGCGAGGAGGAGGATCATATGAAGAGGATGCTGAGGATCAGGGGTAGGAAGAGGATGCAGCTTCTGCTGATGATGACGACTGTCCTGCTGATGATGGCGGTGATGCTGATGATTGTGATGATGTTGATGGTGGTGATGCTGATGATGATGGTGGTGGTGATGATGATGATGATGGTGATGGCAATGACGATGATGGTGTTGGGGACGGTGATGGTGATGATGGTGGTGGTGGTGGTGGTGTCAGTGATGCTGGTGGTGATGATGATGAGGATGCGGATGATAATAATGATGATAATATCGGTGAGGGTGATGGTGAAAACGATGATGCTGACAAGGAATATAATGGGGTGATGTATGCTGATGGTGATGACGGCGATGGTGATGATGATGATGAGGAGGATCAGGAGGAGGAGTGGGAGGAGGAGGAGGATTGTGCTGATGCAGGGTCAGGTGTGACAAAGGGGTCGCCTCGGGCAGTCCTGGTCTCTTCATCTTCTCTTCCCGCCGTCATTCCTTGCAGCTTCACAGGCTACAGGTTTTTGCGTCGCCACGGCCCGTGTGGCAGTTCCGGCAGCATGACAAGGAGCACGACGACAGAAGCGACGACGGTTCCAGCGACGATGCTGACGGTGGTGATGGGGGGTGCTGGATGTGTTGACGCCGAGCGATGATACGGAAGCGATGCCCGATGAGGATGATGAGTCGTTTGGGGGTGGAGGTGGAGATATGTAACGTTATCGAACACGTTCGCGGCAAACCACCGCTGCCCCCCTGCCACTTGGAAGCGCTAGTGTGGCAACACGTTGGGCCAGGGTTCTGATGTGTCTCGCGGAGGGAAGGGATGATGATGATGATGATGATGATGATGATGATGATGCTGCTGATGATGATGATGATGATGATGATGATGAGGGAGGAGGAGGAGGAGGAGGAGGAGGACGAAGATGGGGAACAGGAGGAGCAGCAGCAGAAAGATGATACTGATGATGATGAGGATGATGCTGACGCTGCTGATGATGCTGATGATGATGCTGATTCTTATAATGATGATGATGATGATGACATCGATGACGATTATGATGATGCTCATGATGATGAGGATGATGATGATGCTGATGATGATGATGACGATGCTGCTGATGCCGATTATAATGATGCTGCTGATGAGGATGCGTATGATGATTATGATGATGCTGATGATGATGACGATGACGATGACGATGCTGATGATGATGATGAAGATGATGATGCTGATGATGATGAAGATGATGCTGAGCATGATTATAATAATGATGATGCTGACGATCATGATGATGATGATGCTGATGATCATGATGACGATGCTGATGATGATGAGAATGATGATGCTGATGATGATGCTGATTCTGCTGATGATGATGACGACGATGATGATGCTGGTGATGGTGATGACGACGATGATGATAGTGATGATGATCATGATGATGATGATGACAATGACGCTGATGATGATGATGATGATGATGATGACGACGACGACGATGATGATGATGATGTTGATGTTGATGTTGATGTTGATGATGTCGCTGATGATGATGGTGATGATGATAATGATGATGGCGATGATGATGATGATGATGATGATGATGATGATGATGATGATGATGATGATGATGATGATGATGATGATGATGATGATGATGATGATGATGATGATGATGATGATGATGATGATGATGATGATGATGATGATGATGATGATGATGATGATGATGATGATGATGATGATGATGATGTGATGATGCTGATGATGAATGATGATGATGATGATGATGATGAGGGAGGAGGAGGAGGAGGAGGAGGAGGACGAAGATGGGGAACAGGAGGAGCAGCAGCAGAAAGATGATACTGATGATGATGAGGATGATGCTGACGCTGCTGATGATGCTGATGATGATGCTGATTCTTATAATGATGATGATGATGATGACATCGATGACGATTATGATGATGCTCATGATGATGAGGATGATGATGATGCTGATGATGATGATGACGATGCTGCTGATGCCGATTATAATGATGCTGCTGATGAGGATGCGTATGATGATTATGATGATGCTGATGATGATGACGATGGGGGGGGACGATGCCCCCCGATGCTGATGATGATGTATGAAGATGATGATGCTGAGAGATGAAGATGATGCTGAGATGATTATAAAAGAGATGCTGACGATCATGATGATGATGATGCTGATGATCATGATGACGATGCTGATGATGATGAGAATGATGATGCTGATGATGATGCTGATTCTGCTGATGATGATGACGACGATGATGATGCTGGTGATGGTGATGACGACGATGATAATAGTGATGATGATCATGATGATGATGATGACAATGACGCTGATGATGATGATGATGATGATGATGACGACGACGACGATGATGATGATGATGTTGATGTTGATGTTGATGTTGATGATGTCGCTGATGATGATGGTGATGATGATAATGATGATGGCGATGATGATGATGATGATGATGATGATGATGATGATGATGATGATGATGATGATGATGATGATGATGATGATGATG